GAATTCGTAGAAACTTATATAAGCACAACAAAAATTGAAGCTCTACTTGAATTTTACCATGCTGAATTAAAAAAAAAAATTGTCAGAGATGACTATCGAGAGCTGATAGAACTTTCAATAATATTTTTAGGAGGAGATTTAGAGAAAAAGTTTAAAATTAGGCCTCCAGGAGCAATGCACCAAGCGAGATGGATGGCAATATGAAAATATCACTACTTAGTTCTCAACAAAATATTACTAACCAGGATAAAACCGCGTTGCTAGATGTTTGCTTATTCATTGTTACTACTTACGTGAAGCCTTGGCTTAAATGTGTTCTTGCAGTGAAATCACCTCATCAAGACTTATGTTTTCTAAAGTCATTAAAAGCTTATGAAACCATTGACATAAGTATTTCGAAAGTGGCACTGCAAAAATTTAGTCAGCATTTATGGTACTTAACTGATGAAATTGTAATCTTAGCACTATTTGACGATGAAGTTGAACCAGATATAAAACGATTTATGGTAAAAAATTTAACAAAAAAAAGTGAATGTACATTTGGAAAACGATACATACCGACAAAGGAAGAACTTGGCGGTTTGTTATACGGTTAGTATGAAAGATAAACGTGTATATTTTAATATGATTTGTTATTTAATGATAACTGTAAATTATTTTATTTTAGACAAACATATCTGTGATTTTGTGTCAGCCAAAAGTAAGTTCTTATTTACCCGTTTAAAAATTTATGATAGTTTCTGAACGAATGTCCATTATCATGGGTGACAAACGCCTCATATATAGCAGCCCATAAAACTGTATCAACACTGAAAGCTGTAAATGATACTGCTGAAAGGGCTGTTAAGTTGATGCAAGATTTTCATGGTTTGATTACAGTCGAAGAGGAGCAAAAACAATTTTTGTTGCGTTGTGTGCAAGAAAATTATACCCAAATTCGAACAAAGAAACTCTCAAGAGAAAATATCCCCAATAATAATTTTTTATAAGTACCAGCATTGTAATTATAATTTCTTTAAAATTAAAATAAACATGATAAAATTATCATTTCCAGTTGGTATTTTTTTAATTTGTTGTGTATTAGCATAAACAGAATTTGACTACAAACAACTTAACCAATAATACTCATATATTTTGTAAAAATAAATATTAATCATGTTAAAACAATAAAACGATCGCCCTAATGAAAATT